TGGTTTGCACAAATCCCGGATCCGGAATCCACGTCATGACTTGGGGTCAGGCCAGGTCCTGGGGAGCCGGGTCCCCGCAGTGGGACAGAGGGGCCAGAAGGACGTCAGTGCGGCCCCTAGCCCCCCAGCCCTTCCCGCTGTGAGACCCAGGACTGGCGGTGTCTAAGGGGACCGTCGGTCCGGCCACCCTGGGGACTGCTCACCCTGGGTTAGCAGGGGAGGGTCGCAGGAGGCTTGTCTGGGGGGACAATGCCTGCAGTAGTACCCGGCGGGGTGTGGGCGCCAGGGCTGTGTTTCCTCGTTATGACCTTGAGCAAGTGACTTAACCTTCTCGAGCTCTGATTTCTTCATCCACCTGCTTCCAGGGTTACTCAGGAGACTAAATGAGATAATGCTGGCAAGGCGCTCGGCACAGTGCCTGGCACATGGCTGAACTTGATAAAAATAATTTTATTAGTCATTTATTGAGACCAGCTCGGTGGCCCTTCGGCATGAAGTATGCCTCCTGCAAGCTTCCCCGGGGCCAGCCATTCCAAGTGCATCTCCAGAGCCTGCTGGAGGCCTCCCAGCCCTCAGCCTGGTCCCCCCTGTCCGGAGAGGTGGGCCCCTCACCACGAGGTGGTCTCTGGGCCTAGGCTTGGAGTTCTCCAGCAGAGAAGGAGCAGCCGTGGTCTGAATGCTTGGGACGTGGTGTAGTCACCCATCCTTGGGGTCCAAGAAGCGTGTCTCTGCCCGCCCTCCCCTGTCTCTGCAGACCTCCCTCAGCTCCCTCCCCCAGAGTCTCCCCACCACCACCCAGCATATCTGGGGGTCTCACAGACCCACTCTTGCTGCTCTTGTCCTGCTCTCCCACCCTGGTTCAGAAGTGGGCACAGCTGCTCCCTGCCCCCCGCGCCCCACCCCTCCCCGTCCTCAGCCACTCAAAGGTTGAGTGGGAAGTCAGATAAACAGAGCCCCCCCCCCAATACGGTCGCCACCCGCCCCTTGCCACTGCCTGCCCCCTCCCTGGACCCTCTCTCCAGTCGGGCTCTTCTATCTCCACACCCAGTGAAAAAGTGAAAGTATTAGTCACTCAGTCATGTCTAACTCTTTGCGACCCCATGGACTGTATGTAGCCCACCGGGCTCCTCTGTCCATGGGATTCTCCAGGATACTGGAGTGAGTTGCCATTTTCCTTCTCCAGGGGAATCTTCCCGACTTAGGGATCGAACCCATGTCTCCTGCAATGGCAGGCAGGTTCTTTATCGCTTATGTCACCTGGGAAGCCGATCTCCACACCCAGGCTCCTAATCAACCCATTCCGCTTGAAGCTTCTCCTGTCTCCCAGACAGAAGGCTCTCTCCACGGCAGTGGATCCTGCCCGTCCTGAGAGATTATACTGCGCTGGCAGAACTGCCTCGCGTGGCGGACCAGGGCGGAAGGCAGTCACCCCTCTGACTGCCCCCTACCCCTCAGTCTCGCCATAGGCACCGGGGGGCTGGTGGAGGACACCGTGCGTGTGGGCAGAACCGGGTGTCATGGTCAGAGCCGCTGTGGACTGGAAGCCCGGGAGCAGAGCCATGGCGGAGTCAGCAGGCACAGGTTCCTGAGCTAAGGAGAGGAACCCCGGCGTTCCCCACCCCCCGATTCTGCGGCACGTGCAGGACAGTCTAGGGAGGCCACGGGCACCCCGGGGCCTGCCGTGCCGTCCTGGGACGGGGCTTGGCTGCCGCGCCTGGAGGAACAGCGGGCCTGTGAGCATCCACAGACCCCCTCTGTGTGAGCGCTCTGCTTCCTTGGGAGGCTTCCCGGCCCACACATCTGCCGCCTGCACACAACGGGGCCGTGTTCCCGCCGGGAGGGACCCTGTTCCCGCAGCCAGCGGCGCGGGGAGCGGGCGGCACCAGGAGGCAGGGGTTGTGGGGGGGGGACGGGAGGGGCCTGGCGTCCAGACTGTGCCGCGGGCCTGAGTCACCCACGTCTCGCTGGGTCCCCAGAGCCTCCCTCGCTGCCTCTGAAAACCTTCCATGTGCCAGGCGCCATTTAGGGGTTCGGCAGAACTGCTCCCTCACCCCCCGGTACTGACCTGGACTTGGGGGCGGGGGAGTGAATAAGGACACTGTCGTCAGGGGTGCTGAGCGTGAGGAGAAACGTAAATCAGGGGAGGCTGAAACAGGCCAGTGGCAGGAAGGGGACCCTCAAGCGGACTCCCCAGAGGGACGGCCAGGCACTCTTTCTGGGGGTCCAGGCCCAGCCATGAGAGGACGCTTGGCTTACATCTGGACTGCTGTCAAGGCGCCCCTGCGGCCTCCCAAGAGAGCGGGGAGGTGGGGCTGCTGACCCTGGGCCCAGCTCCCTGCTCCCCTGCTGGGCCCCAGCACGCCCACTCTCTGCTGCAGGCCCGGGGAAGGGGGTTGGGCTGGCCTCCAGGAGGCAGGGGTGTCCGCACGCCCCCTTCCTGGGGTCTGGGGTCGGCCCCAGGACAGTGGGAGGACAGGGCACCTGCTGGCCCTGACTGCAGGTGACACTTTGGCATACCCCGGCCTTCGGGGCAGCCTACTTCGCATGTGTGGCCCTGTGCTGAGCTGGCCCATGGTCTTCCGGGCCAGGTGGCAGTTGTCAGAGCCAGCTCGGGTGTCAGGGCCACTGGGGGATGGGGTTACACAGCCCGGAGATGGGCCCAGTCCCACCTTACGGGCTGGTGTGCCTGCCCCTGCCAGCTCTCTACCTGTGTTGGAAGGAGGGGCCTGGGAGCTGGACTGCAGGATCGATGAGGACACAGCCAGACCTACCTGTGCCCGTATTAGCTGTACAGATACCCAAGCTCCTGGAGCCTCGGTTTCCTCATCAGGAAAGTGGGCTCATGCCCACCGGGAGCATGTTGCCGGGACCTGGCGCAGGGGAGTGCCTGGGAGTTGCCGGTTGTTGATTTCCGTTTTTAGCCACCGTGGGCCGAGTTCTCTGCCCGCTGGGGCTTGATGTTGGCAGGCAGGGCAGCAGTACACTCGGGCTGGCTCCTCTCACAGTTGATGCCTGTGGAACGCGGGCAGGCGCCGGGGCCTCAGGGAGGCTGAGCTGGCAGAGAACCAGCAAATACGGAACAGATGGCCAGGGAGCCTCCCGTGTCTGGCTTGCCGAGGCTTCTCACGTAAGGGGAGCCAGAGCCAGCCTGTGTCCTCTCAGGACCCTGATCCACAGCGGGGCCGGAGCCGCAACCCCAGCCTGGCCCTTGATGCCGGGGGAGCCACCCCCCGGGGCCCAGCGTGCTGTGTGCTGCTGCCCAGCTCTCCCCAAGCCCCTGAGAACGGCCACAATGGGTGCTGTGTGTGAAAGGAGGTCAGCCGGCCTGGCTGGGGTGGGCGTGGGGGGCCGGCCGGCCCAGCCCCAGCCTCTCCCAGGTCCGGGAGCCAGAGCAGAAAGCACAGCCATGGCTCTTGGGGTTGCTCTCTCCTCACAGAGCAGGCCTCCAGTCGGTCACAACAGGACCACAGATGAATGAGATCACCTCGTGCCTGGCAGGACCAGCTCCTGTTGTCCCCACTCCAGAGGTGGAGAGCAGAGTGGCCTCCGGGTTAGAAAGAAAGGAAGCGCCTGCTGCCCCTCGGGGCTCTCTCTGCCTCCTTCCTGTCTTGCTCCCACCACAGCTGGGCTCGCTCCGAACAAGTCAGAGCAGGACCGGGTTGCAGGGGGAGCAGAGACCCCTTGCCCAGCCCCGAGAGCTCCCAGGACGGCCTGGGGCCATGTGGGGCCTGGGGCCGCACCTGTGGGGGACTTGGGAGAATCGCTGAGCTGGAGAGGTGTCTGCACTGGGCAGGGACCTGATCCCGACCCTCCCACCAACCAGCAGCTCTTCTCACTTGATCCACAAGCTTGGGGCTAGGTGGGTGGACAGAGGCTTAGAGGACCTGCCACCAGGTGGAGAATTAAAACATATCCATGAGTAAGCCCAGGGCCAGTGGTGGTTCCTGGGTGAGTGGGCTGGGGGTGACAGTCAGTGCCCCAGCCTTTGGTGAGGGAGCAGTCATATCCAGGAAGCCTTCTTGGAAGAGGAGGCATTGCACTCAGGGGGACAAGACTCCAGCAGGTGGAGGTGGGAGGGGACCTGACACTGCCACCTTGCTCAGGGCCTGAGTGGGGGCAGCACGTGTGCTAGGTGGGTCCCCCTCTTCCTGCCACCCCTGGTGGGGTGCAGTCACTGTTTGGGTTGGTGGGGCTGGGAGCTGAGTCAGGACTCGCTCACGCAGGATGCACGCAGACAGGCTATGGAACCTAGTGTCTGCTAGTTTTCCACCTACTGGCCGTGGGGGCCTCATCTCTCTAGGCCAGGCCCCGGGGTAAAGTGGGGATGACATACGTCTCTTGGTGGAGTCCGGGAAGGCTCAGGCCACCGCAGTCTCTCCGAGAGGTGGGACCCAGGGAAGCTGTCAGGAGGGGACTGGCTGAGCCCCCAAGGCCCCAGGGGGCCATACCTTCTGGGGAGAAGGAACCGCCTGCAGTTTTCAGATCAGAGTTGTTCTCCTGCAGCACAAGATGGCCCTTGGCCTTATTTCCCAGACCCCAGATACTCTCAGTGATGGCAGCATCAGGCATTAGTTGTAGTCTGAGCTGCACGTATCAAGTGAAAGAAAAGTCCCGAGTGGTCTGGTTTGCTTAGGTTAGGGAATTTTGTTTTTTTATTATATTTATTTAATTTTTGGCTGCGTTGAGTCTTAGTTGCGGCAGGCAGGATCTCGCCACTACTACAGGCTCAGTAGTTGTGGTGGGCAGGCTTAGATTCCCCGTGGCATGGGGAATCTTAGTTCCCAGCCAGGGATCAAACCCGCATCCCCAGCGTTGGAAGGCAGATTCTTCACCATTGGACCACCAGGGAAGTTCCTCAGAGAATTTCTGTTCTCCCCTTACCTTTAACCAGTGGGAAGGATCCATCCTGTCTGCGTGTCGCCCCTTCCCCCGTTGCCTGCTCTCTCCCGGGAGGGCTGCCGGGCGGGTCTCTGACCTCGGCCTCCTCTGTCCTCTCCCAGGCCATCAGCATCAGCAAAGCCATCAATGCCCTGGAGGCCCCCGTGAAGGAGAAGCACGCCCGGCGTATCCTCCTGCGGCTGTCCCTCTGGGCCCCTGGGCGAGGCGGGGAGTGTGAGGCGCGCCTGGGGGAGATGGACTTGGGGAGCAGCAGACACTGTGGATGGCCCAGTTTAGTGCGGCCCCCGCGGCCTGGTGCCAGCCTCGCTCGGCCTCTTCCAGACTCTGAGTCCTGCCTGGGGAAGGCCACTTATTGTCTTGGGCCGTTGGGCCTGGCATGGGAATGGGGCACGACCATGGCTGAGAAGCACAGCGCTCAGTAGGGGGGCAGACGGGGGTGGGGAGGTGGCAGGCGGCCCGCCACCCTCATCTCTGCGGTCAGTCGCCTGCTGGGTTGCACCCACCGAGCCCTCGCTCATGCTGGGGGCCCTGCCGCGTGCACTTGGCCTTGACCTGGCAGGCATCATCCTGGGCACTCACCACGAGAAGGGGGCCTTCACCTTCTGGTCCTACGCCATTGGGCTCCCGCTGCCTAGCAGCGCCATCCTCAGCTGGAAGTTCTGCCACGTGCTCCACAAGGTCCTCCGGGACGGGCACCCCAACGTGAGTAGCCACCGCCCACAGGTCCAGGGGCCCCCGCCCTCCGTCTGCCGCCCCCCACCCCCCACGAGCACCCCCGAGCCACCTCCTCTGAAATGAGTGAGGGACTGTCCCCGAGTCTGGGTCCCTCAGCTCTGGGCGGGCCGCCCGTCCTGCCTGCTGCCCTCCACCCCGCCTCGAGGAAGCAAGTGTCACTCTCGCCCCCTGCCCGAGAAGGCACCAGCTCCTTCATCCTTCCCCGCAGGTGCTACACGACTGCCAGAGGTACCGGAGCAACATCCGGGAGATCGGAGACCTGTGGGTAGGTGCGGGGAGCGGGCGTGGGGGCCTGGGGGCACCGGTGTCCTGCTTGGCACCCGGGGCCTGGGGAATGGAGCCCCGGTGGTGGGGTCCTCCTCCCAGCAGGGTCAGAGTCACGTTCTCAGGGGCCGCGGTGGGGGAGGAGAGCGTCAGTACCTGAACCTGAGCCTTGCTCTTAAGACCTGGCGCAGGAAGCCCCAAACGCACCGCTAATGGGCCCTCCAGCTCTAGAATTCAGCCCTTCAGTCCCTGGGGGTCAAGTGCCCCACGCTGAGTCTGGGTGAGGGGTGCAGACTCTAGGTCCCCCAGGACTATCAGCAGCTGTCAAATCTTGGGAATCTGCATTTTCAGTAGGCTCCCCAAAGATTCTCATCCACAGTGAGGTCTCAGAGCCCCCAGGAATGTGTGTTCTAGGTCCACTCCACAATCAGGAATCAGGGGCATCCCCCAGGCAGAGAGAGGATCCCTGGCCTTATTTGTCCTCCAGGAGCATGGCTGGGGCTGCATCAGCTGTGCGGGGGGCCGGGCGGGCTTCTGGAACTGACCGACCTGCAGTGGGGAGGCGCCTAGAAGTAAGGACAACGGCGTCCCTGGTGCCAGCTGCAGACATAGGCCCAGCTGGCGTGGCCGTGGGGGACGTGGTGTTGGGAGGAGGTGGCGGGAGGGCGTGTGTACACACCTGTCGGAATGTAGCTCCCCGGCCGCCACCAGCATTTTAATAAAGTGTTCCGGCTCAGAACTGGCCTCTTGCCTGGACAAAGAGCTCTTTTGTCACAAGAGTCTCTCTGGCAAGACCAATAAGAAGAGAGCAATAGGCAGGGAGGGAGCTGGCAGAGAAACTCCTTGGGGAAAGAAGGTCGGCCACCTCTGGTGGGCCGAGCAGCGTTTGTTGAATGAATAAGTGACTGCGTGGGTGGGCGCAGGACCAACACCCCGCTCGTGGCCTTGCATCTTCCAGCCTCGGCCTCCTTGCTGGGCCCGCGGGGTTACCGGGTACGTCCTCATCCAGGGCTTTCTCCGCAGGGCCATTTACACGACCGATACGGGCAGCTGGTGAATATCTACACCAAGCTCTTGCTGACCAAGATCTCCTTTCATCTCAAGGTAGCTTCCTCCAGGGAGTCTTGGGGCCTTGCCCCCCACCCCACCTCGACATTGAGGAGGGTGGGGTCTGTCCTGTCCCCACCCGCCCCTGGGGGATGCTCCGGACAGACGACAGGGAAGTCAGAAGGCCCAGGGGCGGTTCCCAATGCGGGCGGTGGTCCCAGCCCTGCCCTGGACTCCGACTGGACCACCCGTCCTGCCTCGGTGTCCGCAGGCAGCGCCCGGGGCAGGTAGCGGCTCCACAGGCTGGGGGTGGGGGGCTGCTTCTCTGGCCCCTTCCCTCCCTCAGACTGGAGGCGGCACTGGGCCAGAGCCGAGGGGGCTGAGGTTGCGTGGGGGTGTCCTCTCCGCAGCACCCACAGTTCCCTGCAGGCCTGGAGGTGACCGACGAGGTGCTGGAGAAGGCAGCTGGGACCGACGTTAACAACATGTGAGTCCCCTTGGCTGTCCCGGGGCCGAAGGTCACGTGTGCCCAGGAGATGAGGCTGAAGCTAAAGGGATGGGCTCATGCGGAACTGGGTGTTTCAGCTGAAGGACTGCTGTCTGGGTATCTGTGCAAGGGTGTGGCCACGAGCATCCCTCCAGCCTAGGGGGCTGGGGGCGTGCCCCACACCCCTCCCGTCCAGCTCTCCCTCCTCCTCCCCCGTAGCTTCCAGCTCACCGTGGAGATGTTCGATTACATGGACTGTGAGCTGAAGCTCTCTGAATCAGGTGAGCAGCTGGGGGGACCCCGGGTGTGCAGTCCTTAGTCATGGGGCCCCCAGAGTGCAGGGAGGAGAGGCCTTTTCCACCCCTGCAGCACACCAGGCCCCCGGTGGGCATGTCCAGGGCGCGGTCTGGAAGAAGGAGCCCTGCTCTGTTGGCCCCGAGGTAGGAGGGAGGAGGGCAGGGTGGGGAGGACCCCAGGAGCCAAGTCTTCAGGTTTCCGACCACCTCCTACCCAGAGCAGTTGGTTTGGGACAGTCCCACCCATTCTCTGCTATGAAAGGCCTCTGAGTCACTTCAGATCTCCCTGCCCAGGAACCCAGCAGCTGTAGGACAGGAAATCTCAGGGGGCCCCCCCATCTCCCTGCCACCAGGGCTGCAGAGGTGACGGTTTTGAGTGGCAGCTTTGAAACAACTTGTGGATGACTCGGCGCTCTCCATAGGAGAGTGAGAGGCAGATGCCTTTTTAAGGGGAAGCCAGGAGTTAGAAAGAGTGTGTCCGGGCAGCCTCTTGGCGCCGGTTTCTGGACCCTGAGGCCCTGAGGCCGGGTGGTCTCAGGTCGGGGGCAGCTGTCCTGCGGAGGTGTGCCTCTTCATGAGGGCACCCCCACTCCACATGCCAGCATCTCCTGCAGAAACAGCATGAGGGGGAATGGGGGTTAGAAACCACCCTGAGGTTTCTAACAGCCCCAGATGGAAATGGCCTGAATGCCCCCCAGGTGAGAAGTGACTGTATTGTGTTTTAAAACCCCAAATCTATTTTATGTGTATTTAGATTTTTTTTAACAAGGAAATCGTACTTGACGCGACATGACATGTAATTAAGAATTAAGGTTTAAGCGTGAGGCACAACTCCTTCGTGCCTTCCTCCTCGCCCCTTCCCTCCCGGGCGTCCTCGCATCATCCTGGAGGTTTGCAGGTTGGCCCACCCCAGGCAAGGCAAGAGTAGGCCCAGGGTGGGGGCCACCCGTCTGGAACAGTGTCCCCCGTGGGGCACCCTGGGTGTCACCTACTTACGTCTCTCCCTGCCCCAGAGACGGGCCCTGCCAGCGGCAGCAGTACGGCTGTCTCTCCCTCCTGCTTGGTCCATCGGATGCAAAGATGATTCTCAGGGGCAGGGGAGATTGACCCCGGGTACAAGTGAGGTTTTGGGGTCCCTTGGGGTTTGCAGAACCACACCCTGAGTCCACTGCTATGAGACTGGCCAAGCCTGGACTGTTCCATGTCTGCACAACCTTAGGTCTCTCAGATTCAGAGTGAGTGGGGGAGCCTGTGGGTATAGGACTGTCGAAGTTGCCTGGATCCTCCAGGGCCCACTGGGTCCTAGGCTCGCTGCCTGGAGGCTCTCAAGAGACGAGAGTCGCTGGCCGAGCTGAGCTGGGGTTCACGTGCCCCCAGCTTGCTGTCGCCTTTGTTGGTGGGAGGGCTGCTTCAGGCCTGGGGGTCCATCTTCACCTTGAGGAGCGCACCGAGAGCCTGGGGTCAAGTCCCACCGCCCAGCCGGGACTAGTGAAGCCAGTAACCCAGGCCATTGACCCTGTGTTCAGGTGACGGCCAGCTGTCCTCACCGCGGCCGTCTCTACGCCTGTGACTGGAGTAGGCTCTGGTGTCTCCGGGCCCCCCGTTCAGGCTCCTCGTGCCCCTCTTTTCTGCAGTTTTCCGGCAGCTCAACACGGCCATCGCCGTGTCCCAGATGTCCTCGGGTCAGTGCCGCCTGGCCCCCCTCATCCAGGTCATCCAGGACTGCAGCCACCTCTACCACTACACGGTCAAGCTCATGTTCAAGCTGCACTCCTGTGAGTCCCCATGCCCCCAACCCTGCCTGCCTTGGCCCCGAGGGCCAGCCGAAGCCCCAGAGGGCTGTGCGGGCAGACTGTGTTAGGGGTGGGAATCGAGAGATCCTTAAGATATTTATTTATTATTGATAAGTATATTTATATATATTATTTATTGTTTATATATTATTTATATAATGAGTAATAAGCTCATTCCCCATTAATAGAAATAACATACTTGTTATGGGGGGAAAAAATCACTATTTTCCAAAACAAAGATTTACCGGGGAGAGCTGCAGAAATTTACATGTTTGCAGTTCTCTTGACTGCCTGGCCTCGGAGGCCGCAGTGGAGGACCAGGGGGTCCCGTGGTGGCTCTTTAGTTCAGAAGGGGTCTGGGCCACCAGCCCCGTGTCTGTGCGCTGTTCCACCATCAGCAGTGGGCGGACTCCAGTCCTGACGCACCAGCAGAGCCTGGCGGGCAGTGGGCTGTGGCTGAGGTTCCGCCCATCCTTCCCTCACTCACTTGAAAGCCTGACCCCGTCACAGGGGTCCCTGGATCCTCCTAATGGTGGGTGGGATCCAACGAGGTGGCAGGAGGTCTTGTCTCGTCTACCATGGTTTCTGGAACAGGGAGGAGCAGGGAGGGGGCCGGGAGGGAGCCCTTTGAAGTCTCGGAGCGGTGAGCAGAGAGGAAGCCCCCTTCAACCTTGCTGCCCCTAGGTCTCCCAGCGGACACCCTGCAAGGCCACAGGGACCGGTTCCACGAGCAGTTTCACAGGTACCGGCCCAGGCGGGTTTGAGGATGGCAAGAACAGGGCTCCTCGGCTCTGGGTGCAGCGCGCTGGGGTTGCGGGTCCTGGCTCCTCTAACCTCCGGCGTCCTTCCCGCAGCCTCAGGAACTTCTTCCGCAGAGCCTCGGACATGCTCTACTTCAAGCGGCTCATCCAGATCCCCCGGCTGCCCGAGGTACCTGCGCCCTCCAGTGGCCGCCTCCGGGGCTGCAGCCTTCCCTGTCCCTGCGCTGGGGTGGGGGTGGGAGGCATGTGGCTGGTGGGGCGGCAGAGGGAGGGGCTTCCTGCTTGTTGCAGGGAGCACCCAGCAGCTTTCACCCACTGCCTCCGCAGGGACCCCCCAACTTCCTGCGGGCCTCAGCGCTGGCCGAGCACATCAAGCCAGTGGTGGTGATCCCCGAGGAGGCTCCCGAGGACGAGGAACCCGAGAACCTCATTGAGATCAGCACGGGCCCCCCCGCGGGGGAGCCAGCGGTGAGCGGCCCCCCTCCCTTCCTGCCTCCCTACTGAGGTCTCCTGGGGGAGTGGGGCGGAACTCACCGAGCCAGCACTGTTGCCCGTGGCAGGTGGTGGCGGACCTCTTCGAGCAGACCTTTGGACCCCCCAATGGCTCCATGAAGGATGACAGGTGCGGGTCTGGGGAACCCACTGCAGTGCGGGGCGGTGGGGATGGGGAACAACAGCCTTCAGGGAGCTGTGATCCTGAAAGACCACGGGTGGGGGACACAAGCAGGAGATGCCCAAATCCACTGACGATAAAACCGATGCCTGTGCCGGGGTCCCCCGAGGGCCCTGGGTGACTGAGCTTGAGCGTCAGGGCCCGCTGACCTCTGTCTTCAGGGACCTCCAGATCGAGGCCTTGAAGCGGGAGGTGGAGACACTCCGCAGCGAGCTGGACAAGATCAAGCTGGAGGTGAGGGGTGCGGGCGGCGCGGCTGGGCCCGGGACTGGCTGGCTGCGGGCCCCACACCCACACCCACGCCCCTCCCGCCGCCCAGGCCCAGCGGTTCATCGCACAGCTGAAGGGCCAGGTGAACGCGTTGGAAGCCGAGCTGGAGGAGCAGCGGAAGCAGAAGCAGAAGGCGCTGGTGGACAACGAGCAGCTCCGCCACGAGCTGGCCCAGCTGCGCGCCGCCCACGCGGAGGGCGAGCGGAACCAGGGGCTGCGCGAGGAGGCCGAGAGTACGTGGGCGGGCCCGGGGTGGGGCAGGGCGGGGAGCTGTTCCTGAGCTGGGGGGGTCACGGCCACGGCCTCTCCCGCCCCCGCAGAGAAGGCCAGCGCTACGGAGGCACGCTACAACAAGCTGAAGGAAAAGCACAGTGAGCTCATCAACACGCATGCCGAGCTGCTCAGGAAGGTAGGCCCGGACACGGAGGGGCGGGAGGGGAGCCCCAAGCGCGGCGGAGCCCGAACCGAACCGGTCCGGTCCGTCTGTGCAGAATGCAGACACGGCCAAGCAGCTGACCGTAACGCAGCAGAGCCAGGAGGAGGTGGCGCGGGTGAAGGAGCAGCTGGCTTTCCAGGTGGAGCAGGTGAAACGGGAGTCAGAAATGAAGGTGCGTCTCGGAGCTCCCCACCCTCCCATGCCCAGAGCACCCCCCACCCATCTCCACTGTCCCCTGTAACATCCTGTCCCACCCCGTCCAGCTGGAGGAGCAGAGTGACCAGCTGGAGAAGCTCAAGAGGGAGCTGGAGGCTAAGGCGGGAGAGCTCGTGCGCGTGCAGGAGGCGCTGAGCCGCTCGGAGCAGGTGTGGGGCCTCCCCGGCTGGGTGCACCGGGTTGGTTCAGAGGGGCCCTTGGTTTGGGGTGCGGCTGGGACCAGCACCAGGGGACACTCGGGAAGCGGGATCTGGTCCTCGCTCGGCCCTCAGTCCCCCTCCAGTCTCCTGGGACCCTACGGACTGTCTGAATTCGGGTGGGGATGGGGCGGGCAGGCGCTCAGCAGCCCACTCACACGCTGGGTGTCCACAGAGCGGGTTGGAGCTGAGCTCCAAGCTGGACGTGCTGAGCGCAGAGAGGGATGAGCTGAGCGGTGTCGTGCGGCAGCGCGACGCTGACCTGCTGGTGGCCCAGAGCCTGGCTCGGGAGAAGGAGGAGGTGCTGAGCCAGGAGCGGCAGCGCGGCTCCCGGGAGAGGGATGAGCTGCAGGGGCGGCTGGCCGACAAGGTGGGACATGGTGGCGGGGCTCCCTCCGCGTGTGACGGCTGCGTGGGGATGGGAGCCCTTCTTAGCACTGAGCTGGCTGCCCTGCTCTGGCAGGAGCCGCCCAGGCACTGAGGGGTGGAGCAGGGCCTCTCTCCAGGGCCCCCTCCCCAGCAAGGGTCTCAGGGGGGCACCTGGCTAGGTCTCAGCCACCGCTCTGTCTCCCTCACCCACCAGGAGTCTCAGGAGCAGGGGCTGCAGCAGAGGCTGCTGGACGAGCAGTTCGCGATGCTCCGGGCTACCGCCACGGAGGCTGAACGCATCCTGCAGGATGCGGTGGGCAAGCTGGACGACCCCCTGCACCTGCGCTGCACCAGCTCCCCGGGTAGAGCCACCCTCCTGCCTACCCTCTGTCCCCACCCCACACCCTGAGAGAGGCGGACTGGGTGCGGGGACCTCAGCCCCAGGCCCCACCCCTGACCCGGCCCCTTTGTCTGACAGACTACCTGGTGAGCAGGGCCCAGGCCGCCCTTGATGCAGTAAGCGCCCTGGAGAAGGGCCACGCCCAGTACCTGGCCTCCAGGGCAGGTGAGTGCCACGGCTTGGGACGGCGGGGCAGAGGCCGCAGGCCGTGGTGCCCACTGGCCATTGCTGCCTGCGGGCCGCCTCTTCAGGGGGCCACACCCTGGAGCCCACCCTGCGGGCCTGGGGTCCCACAGACTCTAGTTTGGTTCCTGCTCTGCGGCTTTGTAGTTGTGGGACCTGGGTCAGCACCCCCTCCGCCCTGCTCACTGGGAGCTGGGCTGCTGGGGCCCTTTGGGCTCACGAGCAGGGGAGGCAGCACCAGGCCTCGCTCCGAGGCAGCAGCGTTAGGGTGTGTCTTCCCTGAGCAGACGCCTCCGGCCTCGTGGTAGCCCTGACCCGGTTCTCACACCTGGCTGCGGACACCATCGTCCACGGCAGCGCCACCTCCCACCTGGCCCCCACTGACCCTGCTGACCGTAAGTGGGCCCCAGGCGCGCATCACACATGGTCCTCGTGGTGGACTGGGGAAGGGGGTGCGGCTGCAGGGAGGTCCTGGGCCGTCCAGGGCTCCCCCTCACAGCCCTCTCCCCGCAGGCCTGATCGACACCTGCAGGGAGTGTGGGGCCCGGGCCCTGGAGCTCGTGGGGCAGCTGCAGGAACAGCAGGCCCTGCTGCAGGCCCAGCCTGGCCTGGTGCGGACTCCCCTGCAGGGCATCCTCCAGCTGGGCCAGGTGAGGCGGGCAGCAGAGCGTGGGCCAGGGTCCCGAGTTTCTCCGCATCTCCTTCCAGCTTGGGCTGAGCAGGGGCTCACGTGGGGCCTGCCGCTGCGAGGCACGGGGTGGGGAAAGAGCAGTGCCCCAGTCTTGCCCCCAGGCTCTGTGGGGCAGCCGGGGCAGAATCCGCCCACCCTGCCTGACTCCCAGATGCCTTGTCCCCCAGGAGCTGAAGCCCAAGAGCCTGGACGTGCGTCAGGAGGAGCTCGGGGCTATGGTGGACAAGGAGATGGCGGCCACGTCTGCGGCCATCGAGGATGCGGTGCGGAGGATCGAGGTGAGGACTGGGGGCGGGAGGGCCAGACGGCCTCTGCAGGTCAGAGGTGAGGGGATGGCCGGGGTCTGGCTCTCCCGCCGAGGCTCTGTGGCTGATGGGGGGGTGGGGGCTGACTAGCACTGGTGTCCCCCTTCGTCGCATGCTGCCCTCCTCCCAGCCCACTCAAAGCTCTTGTCGGGTGTAGGACATGATGAACCAGGCCCGCCATGCCAGCTCTGGGGTGAAGCTGGAGGTGAACGAGAGGTGAGCCCCACTTGTGCCTCCTAGTCTCCTCTCGGGGCGAGTTTCTCACGGTTTTCCCGGATCTGGGGAGGTGGGTTCTGCCCTCCTGACTGCTTAGCCCTCCAGAAAGAAGGGCTGGGAACTGGCAGAGTGCACCCCGCCAATCGAGGCCAGGCCGAGCTCCCTGGCTCCCCATGGCTTCCGGGGCCACAGTGCAGACCCTTTTCTCTCGTTCCCCGTCCCTCCTGCTCCTCCCAGGATCCTCAACTCCTGCACGGACTTGATGAAGGTGAGTGGCCGGCTGAGACCCAGGCTGGGCGGGCTCTGTACCTGGCAGGGCCGCCCAAGGGTGACTTGTGTCTTGATCTTGGCAGGCCATCCGGCTCCTGGTGACAACGTCCACCAGCCTGCAGAAGGAGATTGTGGAGAGTGGCAGGGTGAGCTGGGCTGCTGGTGGGATGGGGCATCTCTGGCTGGGCCAGGTGGGGCCCCCTCAGTGGGCAGGCCGCACAACTCGGCCATCGAGGACAGATTCCTGCAAGGGGCCTGACCCCAGAGCCCTCTTTGTCCCAAATCACCCCATGATTTAAGATTCCCCCCAGGGCTCCTTTTGGGCGTGAGACCCCTGAAGTGTGCAGACTGGTGGCAGGGCCTGCAGCGTGCCTGGGAACCTCGGCTGAATCCCCCCGCCACGGCCCTGTGGCTGGGTGAGGGGAGAAGGGCTCGCCTCTGGGGATCTGGTGTCCCCCGGTGACATCCTTGACTGGTCCGCCCTGTCCTCCTGTCACCACTAGGGGGCAGCCACGCAGCAGGAATTTTATGCCAAGAACTCGAGGTGGACCGAAGGCCTGATCTCTGCCTCCAAGGCGGTGGGCTGGGGAGCCACCCAACTGGTGTATGTTGCCCCAGGCCTGGGGGTGGGGTGAAGGGGGCAGGGTGGGGGTGCTCAGGGTTTGGGGAGGGGGCGTGGGGGTGCCCCGGCTGTCCAGGGGGTCGGAGACCCAGGCCCGGCCCACTTTGCCCCCAGGGAGTCGGCGGACAAGGTGGTGCTGCACACGGGCAAGTACGAGGAGCTCATCGTCTGCTCCCACGAGATCGCGGCCAGCACAGCCCAGCTGGTGGCGGCCTCCAAGGTGAGGCTCCCCTGCCTCCCCGGGAGGGAGACCGCGGGGCGGTGGCGCAGCCGGTGGGCCCGTCCCTGAGCCGTCCCCGCACCCCGCACCCCCAGGTGAAGGCTGACAAGCACAGCCCCCACCTGAGTCGCCTGCAGGAGTGCTCGCGCACCGTCAATGAGATGGCTGCCAACGTGGTGGCCTCCACCAAGTCGGGCCAGGAGCAGGTGGAGGACAGAGGTGGGCGCTGGGGTCCCCGTGGAGGTGGGGGTGAGAGGGAAGGCACGCAGACGCTGACCTACCCTGCTCTGCCCTCAGACACCATGGACTTCTCCGGCCTCTCCCTCATCAAGCTGAAGAAGCAGGAGATGGAAACCCAGGTAGCTGCCCTCCCACCTCTGTCCCTCTTGCCTGCCTCCTTCCCGTCTCCCCCGTCCCCTCTTCCGTCCCACCCCTCTCCTGCCCCGTCCTGCTGAGCTGCTATGCGGGGCTGCAGGTGCGGGCCCTGGAGCTGGAGAAGACGCTGGAGGTGGAGCGTGTACGGCTCGGGGAGCTGAGGAGGCAGCACTACTTGCTGGCTGGAGCCGTGGGGGCGCCGGGCGAGGAGGAGCCCAGCCCGCCCAGTGCCGCCCCCCGTAGCGCGACCAAGAAGCCGCCCTTGGCTCAGAAGCCTGCCGTGGCCCCGAGGCAGGACCACCAGGTGCCGGCCGGCAGGGTGGGTGGGTGGTGACGGGAGGGGCCCGGGGGTGCTGTCCTGGCCTCTGCTCCAGGTCCATGGGGTGCTGGCCCTTGGGGATAGTCAGACATCACTGACCGGTGGGAGCCTACATGCTGCCCAGCACCCCAGGGAGCATGGCAGGTGCCCAGGGCTCATTCCGCAGGAGCTTGGGGGGCCCTGACCCAGCGTGTGTCCTGCACTCCCGGCCGTGGCCACTGAGCCCCTCACCTTTGACTCCTGCAGCTCGACAAGAAGGATGGCAGCTACGCAGCTCAAGTCGTGAACTGAGCCCCCTCCAAGGGGTCCGGTGGGGAGGCTGACAGGAGACCTGGGCCTCGTGGCTGAGGTGCCTCCGAGAGGCCTGGCCGCCCCCCAGGTGCCTGAGCCCCTGGCCCCCAGCCCTTGGTGAGGGCTGACCATGCACCCAGGACTGACCGAGGCTGTCCTCCTAAATGAGAGCCTGTTTATCTGCAACAGGGACCGCGGAGGGCAGCCAGGCCCTGATGGCCTGAGCCACAGCTCCTTGGGAAATACACGGAGCATTTCGAATATTCTGAGCTAGACCTATTGTGAGTTTGTGTTCAGCGCGCCGGAAGGCAGGGCTGCTCCCTGCCTTTTGGACCTGTGGTCTGAGGTTAGAGATGAACCGCACAGAGTCCATGCTGGCTGTTGGGGACAGGTGAGAGGTCACTTGTTTGTAGCCCTCTTGGGGCACGGGCTCCAGGGAGACGGGACTGCTGTGGCCTCAGGCAAAGCAGGATGCCCTGGGCTATCGCCCCAGGGCGTCAGCGACAGGGCACGCCCAGCACAGGCACGTGACCTCTACGCGGGAGAGGCGGGCCCGCGCCCACCGGGCACAGGTGCTGCCATCCTCCTGGGGTCTGCGGGGCCCGCCTCCTTCCTGGTCATGCCCCAGATCTGCAGGCCCCTGCCCATCTCCTCCCTTCGCCGCCCCTACCCCTGGGCGGTTTCCAGCCTTCCTGGAGGCCTCCCCAGCTCAGCCAGAAAAAGCCCAGGAGCCGCCTGCCCACTCTGTGGATCAAAAGTACCTCCTGCTCCACGGGACGGTGGCTGCCCCGGGGAGGGGGCCTGCCCCACAGAGAGGAGCATTTGGATGAACGTGCTCCCCTCGAGCCCTCTCCTCCTGAGAAAGGGGGAGACCCTGGCTGGAAGGAAAAAACCCGGGTCTGAGCGGAGCACAAGGAGCCAGCTCGTGGTTACTTTGTGTGTGGTTACTTCCTGGTGTTGAAGGGTCCTACTGGCAATAAAACGCACTGACTGTTTCACCTTCGGCCCTCCATCAGGGGCCACGTCTGTGCTTCATTTCTCTGGGGCCAGTACGCACAGAGTGAAGGGGACCACTTAAGTTTGTGCAGTGGCGCACTGCGGGCTACAGAACACCTTGCTGGTACTTTTTCTGCCAAGAAGTGTCCGGCTCGTTTCCCAAGGGGAGGGCTGTGACTCTGGGGCGCCTGTTTGCTGGGACTTAGGGCGTTCCCCTAAGAGGCCTCTGTTCCCAGCCAGAGGCCCCTGCCCCAGCCCTGTGGGAAGCTGTACCTCTCAGAAAGGGAGGGGTGAGGCAGATTCCTGGCAGCTAAGACTTTCACCTGAATGTCACACGTCTGAGCGCTGTGGTGAGCCTGACTCCTGGCTGCAACGGACTGTAGCGGCGACACAGTCTTTAAGTTGGAGAACGTACCGGGCGTCGCAGCTCCTCAGAGCGCAGTGGGCTGCACCCGCACCCACTTTCCCCAGCAGCACCCTGGGCACGGCCGTGGCCAGCTGCCTCAGAAACCGCACCCTCCCCACTGGCCGCCAGCACTTGGGGAGCCAAGGACAAGGTAGGTCGGGGGAGCAGCGGGTGACCGTGGGTGGCTCCTGCAAGCACCCCACCCCCGGGGCTGTGGTTTCCTGACCACGAGGTGGGGCCCCGCCTCCTGCAGGGTGGTTGCGAGGGGCGGGTGAGGTCAGGTGAGAAAGTGCTCCGAAAACTAACATCCTGAGCTGGACACGCACCGAGAGGGGGCAGTGTCTGCTCCTCGTCTGCTAGGGAGACAGTTTTGGCAAACAGACCGACACACCTGGTTCTCTCACCAAAGCAAACCAGTGCAGAAGCGTGCGAGCTGACTACACTCATGGCCCCAGTGGACACACCTTTCCGTGGAGCCCCCCACCAGTGAGCACACCTACCACTCTGGCTGGGGCTGGGCCCTGGGCCTCCCTGGACGGGTCCTGAGCAGCGTGGCCCAGAGGAGGGGGAGCGCTCAGATGGGGCTGCGAGGAGGAGCCAGGCGCACCAGCCAGCCCCACTGGGGGTAGACTACACTTGCCTGCAAGCTTCCTAGCAGCCACTGGGAAGAGAGAAAACTGTCAGAGACATTCTCGTAAACAAAAGCGAGTTGCTTTCTCAGCAGAAGCCCCCCCCCCAGAGAAAAACCATAGGGTCTCCTGCCACCCTCAGCACCAAGAAGGGAACGACATGTTTAGCACGGGCAGCGATGGTAAAGCTTCCGCAGGGCGGCTCCAGCCCTCGTGCTCCAGAGGAGAGTCCCTCCCAGGGGTACAGAGGCCGCGTCTCAGCTCAGCCGAGGGCCACAGGCCCAAGGTTCCTCTTGGCACCCTCCAGAAGCACGTGATGCTGCCACGGGTCCCCTCCGAACACCTGTGGGCGAGCCTCTGGACTCGATTCTACCTGAAATCAGCGAGAACGTCCTCACCAGAGTTCCCATCAGCTCGCCTGAACCCAGAGGGCACCTTGAGCGCCCTGCTCTGAGGCACTGGCAGGGCAGCCCGGACCCCAAAGGCACCTTCTGGAGGAGGAGGGATGCGCTTCCTTCTTGACTTACCTTGAGAATCTGATTAAAAACGATGCTGCTGTGAGGGCCGGGGCTCCTGGGCCAGGCTGACACCTCAGCCACCTCCATGGCCTTCCGTGTCTTAACTTCAACCACCTTACTGGTCCGCTTCACTGTCGGAATGCTGACTGCTGAGACGCCAGAACCAGACACATCACAAGGCTCCCCAGGCAAATGAAGGGCGGGCGGTTATTAACAACTCTCTATTTATTAAAAAGGGTCTTACAGCTTTACAGCCACAGCTCAGATGTGGCCCTCGAGAGACAGCGAGGCCAGCTTGGCGGCCCCTTCCCCCCATCAACGCCGACCGAGCTCACACGTTTGGCTGCGCCCCCGACAGGGGGTGGGCACCCCCAACAGCGGGGCGGACGGCAGAGGTACGGGGTGGTGGCACCACTCTCGAGGCTGACAGACGTGGAGGCCCGCCTGATGGGCAGGGCAGTAGGTCGTCCTGTACAGCTGTTCTCTTGAAAAACAGTTGGTGATACAGCAGAGTTCAAGTCCAGGAGTAGAAATGCACAGTAACGAGGACACCGGGCGGTGGCCTTGCCCACGGCCTGCTGGGCCAGACCCCGCCTGGATTCTGTCCTCTGGGCCGTGGCCTGCTGGGGAGTCACGGGTCCGAGTTCCACCACTCAGCACGGCTTTTTCCATCAGCAGGTGGAGGGGGGCGGCCCCACCTCCAACCCCCTGCCCCAGCTGGGCCCTGGGAACCCAGCACACGTGGCACGTGCGGACAAGCGCCCAGGGGGCAGGGAGCACCCGGGGTGTGGCCAGGGCCTCAGCTCCTCGGCCCCCGTCCAAGCCGAGGGGTGGCTGGCAGCCGTCGCACCCCTGCCCCACGCCCAGCCAGAGGCAGAGAATATTGGCTATGAGTAAGTATCCTGGTTCGAAGTGGGTGGACCTTCCTTCTACCTGCAACATGACAAGGGACGAATGCAGACGAGACCCCCGCCTGGCCGGCCCCTCCCGGCAGCAGGTGGAGCTAAGGCACAGCACGAGCCCGCAGGTGCGGCCGAGCGCCGCTTGCACGAAACGAAACTGCGTCACTTCATCTGCATCTCAACCTGCTCATAACTATATGTGCATTTTTCCGAAAGTTTCCCTGAATGGTCTTGTGTCAAAAAAAAAACGTTTTCTTCCCCAATATAAAACAGGAAAAGTACACATGTAGTAAAAACATCGGAGGAGTAGGTCTTCACAGAAAGCCTAGGCTGGCTCGTGGAGGAGGAGGAGGAGCTGGGACAGCCTCCGTGTGCCAAGTCCAGCTCCCACCCTCCTCCTAACCCGGCCATGACTCGCCGGCCTCTGGACGTGGCTGGGGGCCAAATGCAAACTCCGCGGGCAGCTGTGAAGCGTCCAGGGTCAGGGAGGGAGGGGCTGGGAGGACCGCTTGCCCCACGCAGGTCCAGGGAGCACCTTCCGGGCTGGCTCACCCGACCAACCCCTGCCGGCGGCTGCAGTGGGTGGTGGGCTGGGACGCACAGAACCGTCTTGAAAATAAAGCAGAAATGATGAACCGTGCTTATTAAATAAAGCTGCAACGGGAAGACAATGATCCTACATGGGAACAGAGGTGCGGCGCGGGGAAGGGGAGGTTTTTCCCCCCAAACTCAGGGGCTCATCAACACAGAACAAGAAACCATACCAAGAACACACACCAGCTCGACCACAGCGATGCTGGGCCGAGCCCCGCGCAGCTGCCTCGGTGTCCAAAACCAGGGTTCTACGTCTATGACCACTGACCTATGGTGCTAAAACCAGCCGGACGCCCTGCCCCGGGCACCGGAGCCCCCAGCAGAGCAGCCGGTGCCCACAGCCTCCGTCTGTGTGTGTGGAGCCCCAGCCGGCAGGCGGCAAGGGAGCCTCCCCGGGAGGATGAGGGCCGCTCACTGGAGGATGAAGCCGGGCTGGTGGGGCAGCCGGGGCGGGGGTCTCTGGGGCAGCGCTGGCGGGTACGGTGATGACACAAACTGCTGCGCGGAGAAGCCCTGCTGGGTGGGGAGGCCCCCTCGGGGGGGCAGGGGTGGGCACTGCACGGCTGGGTACGGGAGGGCCTGTCCTGAGCCCATGGCGGCGGTGAACGGCGTGGCTAAGCGTCCTGCAGGCGCCGGGGGCGGCGGGGGCGGGATGCGCCGAGGCACTACGGAGGGGGGCCCGCTGGCCTCCGGGGCAGGGTAGGGCAGGGGGGCGGCGGGGGCGGGCTCAGGCACCCTGGGTGGCAGTGGGGCAGGCGCAGGGGCCTGCGGCAGTCTCTGCCCCTTCAGCACCATCTCCTGGAGCTTCTCGATTTTGACCCTCCGCATGTGGGCTAGTTTCCGCTTGCTCTGGTAGACGTCGATGAAGGAGTCCAGAGGGAGCTCTCCAGCGAGAAACTTCTCGGCCATGTTCTGAAGGGGCAGGAGCAGCTCGGTCACAGGCCAGGAAGGCCAGCCATTAGGGGAGGAAGACCCCTCACCGACCAAGGCGAGGGGAGACGGGGCCAGCTTCCTCCGACACCCGCCCCCTCCTCGCTGCAGACCGTGGCCCACTCAGGACAGGGGCCGAGAAGAGAGGAAGGCCGGTCCTGTCCGCCTCCCGAGCCGTAAACTGGGCAGGCAGCAGGCCCTGCGAGAGCTGGCCTTCCAGAGACAGGGCCCGAGACCCCCGTTTCCTTCCCTCCACTGGCTGTGACCTCACACGCTCGCCCCGCGCGGGCCAGGGGGGCGGGGGACAGGAAGCTGCTTGTACCTGTGAGGACCGCCCCGCCCAGCAGGTCATCGGGCCACACGGCTGAGTTTGGCACTGTGCTGCCCGCCCAAATGTGCCACAGCGGCTCAACTTTTGACCCCGATTCGTTTATCACTGAGCAAGGCTCCAGCCTCAGGTGCTCGGAGGGCCGTGCCCACAGGCTCCGCCCAGCCAGCCGACTCGGACAGATGGTAACTCAGCCGCCAGCACCCACAGGACAGGTGCTGAGTCACAGGGTAGCACGCGCCCCTCACTGGAAGACCTGGGCGCCCCGCGGCTCCCCCAGACCCCTGCCCGGCGCGCTCCTCAGCCCACAGGCCCGCTCGCCCCCCCCAACCTGGGGTGTCCCCCGGGGCTGCCAGAGTTACCTCAGTGTCTTCCTCAATCTTGGCCCCTTCCGCCTGCAGGAGCGCTAAGAGGGTCTCCAAGGAAGCGCTGCTGGACTGTTTATCTGGAAGAAGCGGGAGGCACGATGCGGTCAGGGGGCACAGGCAGCCCCTCAGAGATCACCTCAGCCCCCAGCCCCTCGGAGCGACACGCCCCACCCCACACCCCGCCCAGACTCCCCACCCCACGCCCCCTCAAAGAACAAGTGCACTTGAGCTGGAAAGGTGACAGGAGAGGCGCACGGAGCAAGCAGACTCTCCAGGACACAGAAGGGAAAGTGGGAACGTGCAGGAGAGGAAGGAGTGCCCGCGACGGGGCGGGGAGCGGCCTGTGCCCGAGGGAGAGCCGTGTCACCACCCACCCCATGACACGGGGCGACCACTGCACACCTAAGCCTGCAACCACCCCGTCACTTCCTTGGGATTTCTGAAGGACAGTTTACAGTTTAAAGTAGACACGTCTTCAGTGTGTGTGTATAAACCCCCCTACCTCAACCCAGACTGAGACAGAACGTTTGCAGAGGCTCCAGCCCCGCTCCCGACGTGCTGACGTCCGCTCTCCAGGAACGCTGCCTGGTTCTGAGCTTCACGTCCGCTCTCCAGGAACGCTGCCTGGTTCTGAGCTTCGCCCAAGTGGACTCACAGAGGGCGTTCCCCGCTGGCCTCTCTCACTCAACACGTCTCTGAGACCATCCGTGCGGCGGCACGAACGGGCAGCTCGTGCCTTTCAATGCTGCCTGGCACGTGTCGCGACTTACCCATCAGTCCAGAGACGGGTGTTTAGATTGCTTCCAAATTTAGCTCTTACAAATAAAGCTACAGCGAGCACCCATGTGTGTATCTCTTGGCACACAAATGTCCGCTTCTGTGGGGGAGACGCCCGCCAGCGGGACTGCGGAATCAGAGCACGCGCGGCTCCACCGCACCAGGTGCGACAAGCAGCATCTCCAGTTCTCACTCCTCCCAGCACCGCCAAGAGCCCCATGTGCCCGCCAGCACCATCATTACCAGTCTTTCCACCTGTACTCAGTCTGGTCAGGCCTGTTACATTACACGTTTTTTACAGCTACAGACATACAGGGATCATGGTGTCAGATGGCCCTGAAGTGTCACTGGAGAGTGATTTTTTAACCTTCTCTCTCATGCCACGCTGCATGATACGTGAAGTCTTAGTTTCCTGGCCGGGACCTGAACCCAGGGCCGTGGCAGTGGAAGCACCAAGTCCTAACCACTGGGCCCCCAGGGAAGTCCCTTTTTAACCTTCTATGAATCTCAGGGTTTCTTTGAAAGCTACTCAGGCCTCAATGCTAGTCAACTCCTAGGTCACTCTTCATAATGGCTGCAAATTTAAGTGTGACATTAAAATAAAGTATTTCAGTGATGAATCTCTTTCAGCATTAACTGTGAGGGCCCAACCTCACAGGATAAAACATTAGTTGTATTATCATAATTCAGAATATTGCCTTTTTTTTCCTATGCTATTTGGAAAGGTGGAGTCTTGTTGAAAAGGCAATCAAGTCTCTTTCTCTAAACTGGTGACACAATCCTATATACAGATGGTTTTTTGCGGCAGTGATCACTGTCTTAATCTGAAACTGTTCCCTAAATAACATTTCTTTCCTGGTTAGTGCAACAGCTTGAAAATGCACCCTTCCATCGGCTCCTTATTTTTGAAAGATCACCCTAAAAGAGTTACCTAGCTTGGTCTTCTTTATCTGATAGGCTTCAAAGAGCACCTGGAGTTCTTGGTATTTCTGGGTCAAATGAGCCTTCCGAGAGTCCAGCTGGGGCTGGTAGAGGAGGTTTCCTTCTGCCAGGCTCCGGTTGCTGGCCAGCGTCATCTCCTTGTTGAGCTGAACGTTCTGTGTCTGAAAGGACCATACAGGGTGATGAGAAGCAGCGTGTTAACCCCCGAGCACCATCCCCAGAGCCACGGCACCAAGAGCTTATGTTTGGCTGGGCAGCTGCTCCCAGCCCAGCTCCAGCCCTAATCTTGGACACTGCTGTCCGTTCTTAAAGAGCAAGGCCATTTTCTCTCCCTCTGGCCGGCAGGCTGGGCTTTGTCCTGGGACCTGTGAGGCTTTCGTGCCAGGAGCTTCGCTGTGACCAGAATTCCTTACTGCTGCCACTGTGCTCTTAGGAGTGACTGGCTCTAAATATTCAGAGCTAGGCTTTTCCTAAACAAGTTGCTGCTGCTCCAGAGAAGTGAAAGAATCACTTCTTATCAGAGGAGGGCCAGTTGGCATGGTGTCAATTCAGGCTTAGTCACCAGGATCTGAGATCAAACATGAAAGCCCAAGATCCTGGGAAGGAGCCTGCTCAGGGGCGCTGTTTTACTCCGTCCCCATGCCCACCGCGGGCTCTTTGCATCTGAGCAGAGGCCCAGCTCCTGGTCACCTGTCCATCAGTGCCACCGGCCCAAAGATGGAGGCGGGGGATTTATCTGCCAACAGGAGTTCTGGGCATCCAGGGGGTGATAGGTTGTGTGGGGGTGGAGAAGCCCACCTGGACCTCAGTGAGAGGGGTAGTGGGAGGTCTGAGAAAAGGTGAGGAAGTCCTAAAGAAATAGAACCGAAAAGTACACCTGAATAAAAAAGCAAAAACACCGCGTCGTGCGTCTAGTTCAGTTCCCTTTCCCCTCGCTGGCTGCGGGGGTGGAGGGGGGTCCTCCACGGCCTGCAGCCCCTCACTCCCTGGATGTGAGGACTCCTTTGCCCCGGCCTCGCTCAGAAGCGCTCCTTCAGCCCCATACCAGCCATCCCGCCGTCCACCCTGTAGTAACACTGTCTACACCCCATCCTACCCCACCCCACCCCAGCTATTTTCATTGCTACTTCCTTCCTCCTGCTTCTCTGACTGCTGACTGTCGATTCCTGGCTTCACTGCCTCGGCTCTGACCCTCCCCCTCCAGCCATACCGTTTGGTGCTTGTGTAGAGTTTCCAACGCGCACATGTGTGCGCGCGCGCACACACACACGTGTGAGAACAAAGAAAGATCGTGGGAGGCCCTGACCACTAGGGGTGGGGGTGGGGACGACCCTCTCAGTCAGTCCAGTCGCTCAGTCGTGTCCGACTCTTTGCGACCCCATGGACTGCAGCACGCCAGGCTTCCCTGTCCATCACCAACTCCTGGAGTTTACTCAAACTCATGTCAATCAAGTCGGTGATAACATCCAACCATCTCATTCTCTGTCATCCCTTTCTCCTCCTGTTTTCAATCTTTCCCAGCATTTTTCCCAGATTCTCTCCTTTGCAGACACCTAATCTGCATCTCCCCACCTGGATCACTTCATGGCAAACAGATGGGGAAAAAATGGAAACAGGGACGGACTTTATTTCCTTGGGATCCAAAATCACTGCAGATGGTCTTCAGCCATGAAATTAAAACACGCTTGCTCCTTGGAAGAAAGGCTATGACAAACCTAGACAGCATATTAAAAAGCAGAGACATGACATTACTGACAAAGGTCCCTACAGTCAAAGCTATGGTTTTTCCATGTGTGGATATGAGAGTTGGGCCATAAAGAAAGCTAAGCTGCTGAAGAATTGATGCTTTTGAACTGTGGTGTTGGAGAAGACTCTTGAGGGTCCCTTGGACTGCAAGGAGGTCCAACCAGTCCATCCGAAAGGAAATCAGTCCTGAATATTCACTGGAAGGACTGATGCTGAAACTCCAATATTTTTGGCCACCTGATGAGAAGATGTGACTTACTGGAAAAGACCCTGATGCTGGGAAAGATTGAACGAGAGAAGAGAAGGGGATGACAGAGGATGAGATAGTTGGATGGCATCACCGACTTGATGGACAAGAGTTTGAGCAAGCTCCGGGAGTTGGTGATAGACAGGGAAGCCTGGTGTGCTGCAGTTCATGGTATTGCAAAGAATCGGACACGACTGGGTGAACAGACTGATCCACCTGGATGACACGGCAGGGCCCTCAAGATTAGGCTCAATTTAAAGAAGAATTTAATTTAAAATAGAAAATTAAGCCTATAGCTTAATACAGTTCAACACTATAAATCTGTGCAGTAGAAACACTCTCTTTTGCTGTTGTTGTTAGCCAGCAAGGAAAACGGGGCCTGGAAAGACCTTCCAGAGGACTGGGGGAAACAGAGACTCCAGTCTTGAATAGCACAAACAAAATTTTGCCCGTATCAAGACCCAGAGGAAAGGAGCAGTGACCCCTACAGGAGACCAAACCAAAACTACCTGCTAGAGTTGGAGGGCTCCCTATGGAGGTGTGGGTCAGCAGGGGCTCACCACAGGGATGGGGGCACTGGAAGGTCCCCCTTGGCATAAACCCTCTTGGAGTTCACCATTAACCCTACCATAAAGCCTGCAGACCCCAGGGCTGGGTGCTTCAGGCCAAACAACTAGCAGGGAGGGAAGGCAGCCACATCCATCAGCAGAAAATCAGATTAAAGCTTTACTGAGCAAGGCCTGCCCACCAGAGCAAGACCCAGTTTTTCCCATCACTAGTCCCTCCCATCAAAAAGCTTACACAAGCCTCTTAGCCTCATTCATCAAAGGGCAGACAGAAGAAGCAAGAAAAAGCACAGTCTCACAGCGGCTAAAACAAGCCCTATTATAGAAAGTTAATCACGATGAAAAAGCATAAAGTGATGTCTGAGATGAAGGAACAAGATAAACTCTCAGAAAAACAACTAAATGAGGTGGAGATAGGCAACCTTCCAGAAAAAGAATTCAGAATAATGACAGTGATGATCCAGGATCTCAAGAAAAGAATGGAGGCAAATATTGAGAAGATGCAAGAAATGTTGACCAAAGACCTCCAAGAACTAAAGAACAAACAGAGCTGAATAATACACTAGAAGGAATCAACAGCATAATAACTGAGGCAGAGAATGGATAAATGACCTGGAGGACAGAATCATGGAAATCACTGCCACAGACGAGAACATAGAAAAAAGAATGAAAAGAAATGAAGACAGTCTAAGAAACCTCTGGGACGTTAAATGCATCGACATTCGCACTATGGGGGTCCCAGAAGGAGAAGAGGAAGAGAAAGGAGCTGAGAAAATACTTGAAGAGATAACAGCTGAAAACTTTCTGAACATGGGAAAGGATTTCCTCAACCAAGTCCAGGAGGTACAGACAGTCCCAGGAAGGATAAACCCAAGGAGGAACACACTGAGACATATGGTAATAAAACTGACAAAAATTAAAAGACAGATATAAAATATTAAAAGCAACAAGGGAAAAATGACAAATAACATACAAGGGAACTCCCATCAGGCCATCAGCTGACTTTTCAACAGAAACTACAAGCCAGAAAGGAATGGCATGATATATTTAAAGTAATGAAAGGGAAAAACCTACAACCAAGAATACTCTTACCTAGCGAGACTTGCATTCAGATTTGATGGAGAAATCAAAAGCTTTCCAGATGAGCAGAAGTTAAAAGAGAATTCAGCACCACCAAACCAGCTTTAAACAAATGCTAAAGGAACTTCTCTAGGCAAGAAACACAAGAGAAGGCAAAGACCTACCCAAAATAAACCCAAAATAATTAAGAAAATGGTAATAGGATCATACATATTGATAATTACCTTAAATGTAAAGAGATTAAATACACCAACCAAAATACATAAGACTGCTAGGTGGATGAAAACATGTGCATGTATGCACTTCTACTTACCACATCTCTGCCTGACCCCACAAATTGTATATAATTATTTTATATTGTTAATCATGTTCCCATTATGGCTTGCATTTGTAATTATCTTTTATTTTTTGTCTGGCTATTTATTGTGAAAACTGATAAACATCTTTTACTATTGTGATTATGTAACTATTACTCACTTAATACCATTGTATCATGACTGGTCAACAGAAAAATAACAGAACTCTATATATCACCAAGGAATACCCTGGTGGCTCAGAGGGTAAAGAGCCTGCAATGCGGAAGAACCAGATTCGATCCCTGGGTCGGGAAGATTCCCTGGAGAAGGAAATGGCAACCCACTCCACTATTCTTGTCTGGAAAATCCCATGGACGGAGAAGCCTGGCAGGCTATACAGTCCATGGGGTTGCAAAGAATCAGACACAACTGAAGTAACTTCACTTCACATATATCATCAAAACTAGGATCCAACAGAAAAACCTGTAATCACTTTTTGAAATCCAGATGCATATCAGAATCATCTTGAAATTTTCTGGAAAATTCAAATACTCAGGTATTGCCTTTTTTTTTTCTTCAGAGCTCCAGATATGTTTCTAATGAGCAGTCATGTTTAAAAACCACATTGTATGATGATCTTTTACTTTTATCTAGTTTGTTTCACTTTTTCTATTTCATATTCAGTGCTCCTATTTCATTTAGTTTATGTTCTCCAGTTTCTCCATCTCTCTTTTTCTGATGTTCTTTCTTAAGCCTTTATCAAGTGCAGTAGAAAAGCTTTTGTATACATATAAATATGTATAATATATATATTTTAGAAAACTTGTGAATTTTTGCCTAACTAAAAAAATTATGACATTTTGATTCCACTTGTTTGACTTAGTATGACTAGACTGCCTGATTTCTGATTAAAAAACATATATGCAACAAGCAACAAAGGTTTACTGTACAACACAGGGAGCTACAGTCAATATCTCGTAATAACCTCTGATGGAAAATAATTCCAAAAATAATGTATGTGTATTTATATAACTGAATCACCTTCTGTGCACCTGAAACATTATAAGCCAACTATACTTCAATAAAATAAATTTTTTAAAGAACAAAACAAAAATAAACCACTGTACACCCTGGAAAACAGCTCAGAAACTCCTTTTAAACAAAACAGGCAACTACCATACCATCCAGAAGTTGTGTGCTTTGGCATTTATTCCAGAAAGGTGAAA